ATTCATTATATATTTTTATTTATATTTAAAAACAAAATTTATTTATATTTATTTAATTCTTTTAAATATCATCGCAATATATTTTTTCTGATGAACATTTGAGTCCTTATATTCTATATTTTTAATTATTATTAATAATAAGTATTGAATTCAATTATTATATTAATATTTTTTAATTAAAAATCTTTAAAAAAAAATTACTTATAAAGTTATTTTTCAAAAAACTGTATAATATTTTATTTAATAGTAAATATTTCTTATTGTTTTATTTACACTTCTTATATATGTTATTCTTTTAAAATTTCAATATTATTTTTCCATCCTTTGTTTTCTTCTAATAGATTATTTTTTAATTAGTTTTCCATTTCTTAATTAAGTTTAGTTAATCTTTTTACAGCTTTTCTTTCTCCTTTTAAAGCATCAAAGAATATTTGTTATTTAGTATCAATCATATCGAATTCATTTTAAATTAATTTTATTTTATTATTTAGCCTTTTGTTTTCATCTATTATTTGTAATTTCTGAGTGTTTTCTTATTAAATTGGTATTTGACTTAAGTTTCCTAATATTTAAACTATTCGATTCAATAAATCATTATATTCCTTTATTTCTTAAATATAATTTTCATATGTTAGTGGTAATACATTTTAGTTAATTTTTTCTATTTCTAAATTATATATGAATTATTTATACTTATTAAAAAAAAATATTTTTATTTTACTTTATAATATTTCTCTATGTAAATCTAAATAATTTATATTTTGAAAAGTTTAATTAATTGGATGCACTAAAGTAGTTTAACTTAATTTTTTTCTTTATTGAAATTATTAGTTTTATTATTATTCAAATTAGCTTGTTTTTTTTTAATCTTATTATTATAATTAAAAAATTTATAATTTTTAAATTGGAGTAAATTAAAGTACTTTAGAATTTCTTTATTAAATTTAATTACAAAGTATTTATTATTAAGTATTATTTATATTTTATTGTTTTTAATTATATAAATACATTTCCAAATCCATTTCCTCTATTTATATTCTTAATTACTAATAGTTTTTATTTGAAGAATCTATTACTTTTTCTAAGCTATGTATATGTTTGTTTTAGATCTTCAATAAACTATTTACAAGTATAAATTTTTAATACTCTACTATTTGTTTCCATTCAAAATTACAGATTACATGCATCATATTTTAATTTATAATTTAAGCACTTTCAATTTATTATATTTTTTATTATTTAATAATAATTTTTTTTACTTTAATAATTATTTTTTTAATATAATTATTATTTAATCTTATGGTATTTATTTATTTTATAAATTTTCTAACTTTTAAGGAATTTCAACCATTTTCTTTAGTATCTAACAAAAATTTTCATTTATACTACTAAAATTTAGTTTTTCATCTCTTTTTTCATTTTTCTTGTATGATGATTCCATATTATTAATAGTATTTAATTCTGAATCTGATATCGAAAAGTCATTTAAATCTTCTTAATTCATAATATCTCTTAAATAAATAATATTATTAGAATTACTATTTTATTTTTAAGGGACTACTATCTATTTATTTATTTTATTTAAAGATATTAAATAATAAAAAAGTACTTAAAAATTATATTCTTATAAATTTTTGAAAATTTCAGAAATTTAAACATCTGCCAAATCGAATTATTTGCTAAAAAGCTGTTCTATTTTGGCATCAATAATGTTTTTTTTTCTTAAAGATAAATAGTGTTTTATTTTTCTAATTTATATACTTAATCAATCAAATTATTTATTTATTTTTACAATATTTCAGTTTAAAATTTATTAAAGCTATTATTATAAGTTTCTTTATTATATTTAATAGAAAGAATATTTGCTAGATTTATTTATTCATTTAATTAGTTTTTAATTTTGATTATTTTCTTTTTTCTTTTAATAGAGTTCTTTTTATAATGAAGCAACTTTTTCTCCTAAATCAATAATTATTTATTTTTAATTGTTTATTTCTTCTTCTCTAACTTTTATTTTTGCCTGTAGAACACATATATTGATTTCTTACTATTACTCTGTCCTACTTTCATTATCAAAAGAACATTTTTTTTATAATTTTTAGTTATTTAATATTCTATCAAGCATATTTTCTTTATTAATAAAAAAATTATAAAAAATAAAAACTAAAAATTTTTACTAATTTTATTCAATTTTTCATTCCCTTGAAGAGGCAAAAGATCCAAATCAGCCCTTGCTTCAAGAATATTATTTTAAATCTGAAACATTAAATTTTTAATAGTTTTAATTTCTGTCTATAATTCTTCCATTGCTTATTTGATTGATTCAGCTGATTATTTAACATTAATCTTACATTAATTTTTAATAGTTTTAGCTCTATTTGCAAACATTAATGATGAAATAGTTTCATGTAAAAACCTTGAATGCATTGAACAAGTTACAATAAGAGAAGTCTTATTTTATTTTTTCAAAAAAAAAAAATTAAAAAAAAATTACCTTATAATTTCCTCCCAAAGATTCTTATAAAATTCGTGTTAATTTAGAATCTTTATAAGGAATATGCACTTAATTATTAGTTAATGAATGGATAACTTTTTCTAAACAAGTTAAAGAAAGATTTATTTTTATTGCTTCTTCTAAACCATCCCCTACTGTTTCACTTTTAGATACTTTTTCACATCCTGCAAGGTCAATAAGGTTTAGTCTACCTACTTTTTCACTTTCATTGGCTAGTCTTTATGTTATTTCTACTATAAATATGGTATGAGATCTTGATGAATATTCATTTAGCCTGGTTGTTCTTGTTTATTTTGTATTATATCCATATTCTATTATTTTCATTATGTCCTTTGCATCTGTAATTATTTTTTATGATAAACCCTAATTATTATTCTTTTTTTTAATAAATAAAATAAAGTTACTTGCACAATAATTCCTTTTGGAGTTTCTTTTATTTTAAGGTCGATATTTTTTTCTAAACTAAGACTATCATAAAGGACTTCTTTATAAATTTCTAACATTGAACATTTAACAATAAATTCAATTTAATCATTTAATTAATCTACTTAGTGAATTAAAAAATCTGACATTCTAGGAATAATACCTTTTTAATATTCATCATTAATATTTCCAAACATAGTATGCGTTTTTCCACTTCCTGTAACACCATAAGTAAAAATGGTACCATTATAGCCTTAAAGGAAATCCTTAATTAATACTTCAGCGATTTGTTAAAATATATCTTCTTAACTTGTATCCGGTGTATATATTTTATCTAGTGTATATGTATGATTTTCATTTACAATATTTATGGTTTTTTCATTTATAAATTCTATAACATTTTAGCCCATTCTATTTTTAATTAATTCATCTTCTAAAATATTATTCGGACGAAATCTTATATAAACTTTTATATTGTCAGTAATTTCATTAGTATTAATATTTATACTATTATTATTTCCTTTTTTACTATCAGTAAAATTTAGTGTTTAGGATTTTAATATTTCACACTTTGGATTGTTTATATATTCTTATGAATTCAATTTTCGTACTACTTTTTTATCATTTGTTTCGATTTCCGAAAAATTTTGTATATTTAATTAACGAGAAGATTAAGGAATATACACATTTTATTAAATGTTCTACTTTTATTATAATAAATTTTAATCAATTATGGAATTTTAATTTGTAGATTTAGATTTTTATCTTTATGAAATACATTTAAATATATTTAAACTATAATATAGTTATAATATTTTTTACCTTATATGTGTTTTTATTTAAAATTAATTAAAATTTTATTATATTTCTTTGTTTATTTTGATATTCTATATATTTGTTATATTTTACGATGATGTTATTTGACTAGATGATAAACTTTTATCTGATTTTTAAGTTTTTTACATTTATTAAAATGTTTGATATTAGTATTAACTTTCAATCGAGTTATTAAATATTTATTAAGGTTATTACTTATAAATTATTTAATTTTGTAAATTTTTTTTATGTTTTGTTATTATTTAAAATTTTCTTATTTTGATTTCAGGGTTTTTTAACTTTTTTATTTTAAATTTTTATTAATTTTTTTTTTATTTTTACTTTTTATCAAAATATTCATTATTCTTGTCTTTATACGCACTTCCTATGTTTTGTTTTTTATATGAAATAAATATAATTTTTTCATTTTACTTTCTGTTAAGTTATTCTTTGAGGAAAATTTATTAGAATTTGTGTTTTATAAATTGTTTTCATAATGAAATCTCGAAGAATTAACTATTTATTTTATTTAATTCTAGAGTCCTAAATATATTTTTGGTTTGATATCTTCTTTTTTATTTTCATTCTAATATAGTTTTTCCTTTATTTTCTTTAATTTTTAATTATTTTATTCAAAAGATTTATGTTAAGAGATGGAGACTAATGGCTTAATTTTATTAATCATATATTGTTTATTTTAGTTTTATTAATTAAAAATATTAATAAAAGTGAAAATTCAAATTCAAATAAAAGAAGAATTATAATTTAATATAAATAAAACTTATTTAATTTTTAGCTTATTGTGTTTTTTTTTTTTTTTAAATAAATAAAACATAAAAATTATAATAATGTATTTAAGTAAAAAATAATAAATAAATAAAATATTGGCAAAACATATAATAATAATAATAATAATAATAATAATAATAATAATAATAAATTAATATATATATAAAATATAATTATACAATCAATTCTAAAATATTAAGTAAAAACTTTAAATAACAAAATAAATAGCATTTATATGAATATTTTAGTATTTATTATCCTCTTAATTAATTTATTTGATTTATAAACAGCAATATTATTCATTAATAATTGTAATTTTCATTAAAATTTCTGTACAAACGCTTAAAATTTTGGCTAATCCGAAATATTCTTAATACATTTTGACTAAATTTAACTTAAAAGAGGGAAATATTGAAGCAAGATATTTCCTTTTTCCAAAAATAGACTTATCAATTTAGAAAATTTAAGATTTAAAAATTTTATAATTATTTTCTTCTTAATTCCAGACTTATATAAATTCAAATAAATTAAAATTATCTAAAGGCTCAAATTCTAAAAACTTAAATATACATACAGGTAAACTTAATTAAATTTCATTATTTGCAAAATGTGTAGAATATTAAATATTAAGAGTAGGAAATTTAAAAGGGATTTCATTCAAATAAACAATAAAGTTTTCTATAAATAATTGGTTTGGGCCTAAAAAATTATTTTATTCAAAATTTTCATTATGATTAAATTCTTTTATTAAACTTAATGAATAATCACTTTAATAATTAACTAAAAATTATTTAAAGCTTACATTTTTTTTATTTAGGATTTTTAAATTACATTTTAATTAATAGTTCCAACTTTTGAATTCCGGGTAAAGTTTTATTTATACTTTTATATAATCATTTTAATAGTACACTATCGAATCACATAGACATCCCAATTTTAAATTTTTTTTATTTTATTCTGTTTATAATTAAAATAAGTCATTTTTTTTTTCTATAGTTTATCCACGCATATAATCTCTTTCTTTAAAGGAAACATTCTTAATTTAAATACTTTATAGTAATTATTATTATTAATTATTTTATAATAAATTATTAATTTTATATTTTCTTTCAATATCTTTCTTAAAATTAACAATATCTTTTTCATAATTATTAACTTGAGTTTCCAATTTAAGTTTATCTTCCATTAATTTAGAAATAGTATCTTTTTAATTATTACATATTTCTTTGAAATTTTGATATTATTCTTCTAAAAAACTTAAATTCGAATTCATAAACATATTTTTATGTTCTTATTGGTTTTTTGAATTTTCTAATTCTTTAATTTTTAATTCAAATTATTAATTTTAGCAAAGCAATTATTAATAATTAAAATCATAGAAGTTATTTTGGCTTTAATTAAAAGATTTTATTTATTCTTTTAAAATTAAAATTTCTTTCTCTAGTTTTTCGCGTGAATTTTCTTAGTCGAAATCAACTTTTTTTAATTTTCTTATTAAATAATTTTAATGTCATTTAAATCTATTTAATACTTTTCTGAAAATTATATCATTATTTGTACTTGACTTTTTAATTATTTTCGAATTTAAATTTCCTCTTCCTATTATTCTTTTTAAAATAAACTTTAATTTTGATCATATTCTATTATATTTTATATTCTTTAATTCATGTATTAGAAGCTTATTATTTTTCTTTAATATTCAGTTATATATATTATTATTCTTTGAATTAAAATTAAATACCTATTTTTAAAGAATTTTTTTTCAATAAAATTAATTTTTAATTACTTTGAAAAATTTTTTTAGATTTCATTTTTTTCTAAAATATAATTCTGAAATTAAAAAAATTAATTTTTAATATAAGATAAACCAAAACGATCTTCTTCCTTTAAAAATTTTAAATTTTTTATAATTATTTATAATTATAAGGTATAATATTCCTTTTTTTCATCTTCACGATATTTAAAGGCATCGACATTATTAAAAAAAACAAAATTTTAAGGAAAAAAATATTTTTTTATTTTAATTCTTAAAATTTATTAGCAAATTAAGAAGGAGTATTTTTCAATAATTTTTTTTCCTAATTCTGTTAATATGCCCCTATTATTAAAAATTCTTAAAATATACGTTTAAATAATTAATCTGAATATTTATCTTCAATAAAATCGCAAATATATTACAGTATTTCATTTTGAAATGAATCTATTATTATTTTATTTTTTGTTTAAATACATTATTATAAAAAATATAAAGAATTAAATTTAATTTCATATTATTCTTCTGGACTTTTTAATAAATTAATTATTTCTTAAAATATTTATTCTAAATTTCTGCCTTCACCTTTTATGATTTATTATAAATAATGTTAATAATTTGGATTTTCAATTTGTAAAAATTATTTTATTTCTGTTTGTTACATTCTTTTTTTAATTTTTATTTAATATTTTATTTTTGATTTATCACTATTTTAAATTATATTATATATATATATATATATAGAATATGTATTCTTTATTTATTTTTATTTAATTCTATCGCAAATATATATATATTATTTTTATATTTTTATTAATTAAATTCACCTAAAAATTATATATTATTGAATTTTATTACTAACTTATATAATTAATTTTTAGATATATAATTAAACATATATACTTGATTTTAATTATCTATATTATTTTTATATATAAAAATTATCATTATATAAATATAATTTTAATAAATTTATATTAAAGATATTTTTAAATCAATTAGTTAATTATACTAAAATCTTTATATATTTAAAAAAAGATACTTAAATAAAAAATAATCGATAATTTATTTATATGTTTTTTACGATTTAAAAGTTAATATAGAATTATTTAAATAATAAATATTTTTTATTCTTTCCTTTTTATCAGTATACTTATACTTTTAAGAGAATTTATTGTGAAATTAATATTTTTGATTATTTATAAAATTAAAACTATAATCAAATATTTAATTTTCCAATTTTATGAAATTAGCATAAAATAATAAAAAAGAAAGAAATTTTTAATTAATTTTATTTTATATCATTTATTATTTATAAATTAAAAATAATATAAATAAAACATTTTTTTAATTTTAATAAATAAATTTATGAAATATGTTTGAAAGTATTTATATATTTTAAATATTTTAAATTTTTATAATTTATTTTTCAAATATTTGCAATTAGCCATCCATCTTAATATTTTTATAACAGGCTAAAAGCTTTTTAAAAATAAATTAATTTTGATTCTTATGATGCAGATAATTATTTTAATTTTATTATAGGAATAATAAATTCATTCAAGACTTCTATTTATCTAAGAAGAGTTTCAATAATAATTTCTTTTATTTAGTTAATCCTAATAACATCGTATTAATTTTAAAAGCTTTTAATATTAAACACTTTTTAAAACAAAAACTTCAAATTTTCATTTTTTTCAATATATTTAACATTTTTATTATTTAATTTCAAAAACAAGCATTTAAAATGACTATTATTTAATTACAAAGTTTAAGAAAACTAACTTTTTCTACTAAAAAATTATAATTTTTCAATAATTTTACAAATAATAGAATCATATTTAAAAGGAATGTTATAATTATCTAAATATTCTTTACATAACAATTTAAAATATAACAAAAGAACATATTTAGACTTATTATGATTTTTTTTTTTTAACGGAGGAAGATTCCTATTTTAGTTATTAATTTGGTTTAAAGTTTTTTTATAATACCTTTTTTATGTAATAATATTCTATTATTTTTTCTGATTTCGTAATTAATCAATATCGATATTTTTCGTTCTATATTTATAGCTTACAAACCTTTTAATTAGTAGTTATTCCCAATCTAAATCCAATATTTTATTATCATTTAAAGCTTTGTAATCTCCATTTAAATATAAATAGAATATTTTTTTTAAATTATTTATTAAGAAAAGCTAATTTTATTAGTCATATTTTATTTTAAATTAAATTTAAAATTAATTTTACAAAGGACATATTATATTTCCTTACTAATACCTTTTTGGATAATTATCTTTTTAGTTTATTTTTATTTTGTTTATCTATTATTGATAATTTAAAATGTTTATTTTATTATAATTTTCTATATAAGTACAAGTATTTTAAGATTATCTTTTGTCTTCAATGTAAATATTATTTTAATTCTAACTTTATTTTAAAAATGAAAAGAAATTTGAATCATAATCCCTTTAATTTACAAGTATTCTATATTTACATGTTTTATTTAAATTTATTTCAGTTTAAATCATATTTTCATCCTTTTTTTCATTAGCATCGAATTAAACTAAATCAATTATAAGTACATATCCTATTTATTAAGTTATTTTTTATTTTTAAGGATTAATTATATAATAGGATGAGTTTTTCAAATCTATAATTGTTCTTTCTTAATAAAACTAATTTTACATTTTTATTATTTCACTTTTCTAAACTTTACTTGATTTTTTTTATTTTTTTCCGAGTAAAGATATAAATATAATCTTTATTTTTATAATTTTGTTAATAATAAAATTATTTAAAATGAAAAAATTAAATTGATTATATTAAAATAAATATTTAAAGTTAAAATTATTTTTAATATTTATATATTATTAATTATGATTATATATAAATTTTATATTTCATTAATTAAATATTTTTAATTATATAAAATATATTTTTAAAAAAAATCTTTTTTATTATAATATATAATTTTATTTATTTTTAAATAATAAAAATATCTTTTATAAAATGAAATAAGAATTTTATTTTATAAGTCATTAATATATTATTTTTATTATTATTTATTGATTTTTTATAGAATTTTGTAAAGCTTTTTATTATTATATTAATATAAATATTTTCATAATGTTTTTAAATCTTTTACTTTTTTTTATTCATATCAGAATTTATTATAAATATAATATTTGATTAAATATTATATGTTTATTTTTTATTATTATTTATATTTTATGATTAATTAATTATTTTAAAAGTATTTTTTTTGAAAATAGAAAAATATAATTATTTAATTCATTTGATAATACACAAAGATATAAAAGAAAAAAAAAAAATTTTATATATTTCATTATTATATATAAATAATTAAATTAAAATTATTTTTTTACAAATATAAAAAAATGAAAATTTTTATAATTAAAGGCCAAAATTATTTTCTTCTAATATTAATTAATTAATTTTTTTAATATGATAAATTGAAAAATAATGATAATAATTTCTATAAAATATTTATATTTAAAACTTTTATAATTAGAAAATAAAATAAAATTGAATAATTCAATTTATCAAATTATATTCTGATACTTAATATTACAATATTATAGAAAATTTAGAAAAAAACATTAAAAATTCTAATCGAAAAAATTTTAGTGGAAAAATAAATTATATGTAAATATTTATTAATAATATAAAATTTATATAATATATCAAATTTAATTATTTTATGATTATTAAAAATATGAATTAATACTTATTAAATATAAATATCAATTAGTAAATATAATTATAAAATAATATAAAAATTAAGATTAACAAATATTTTAACAAATTAATTATTTATTTTTTTTCATAATAATTTATATAATTAAATTAGTATTAGCACTTATATTTTTATATTAAATTTTTATTTTTAAGAAAACCTATAACTAATTTTATTAAAAAATATATAAATATTATTTATCAATTTTAAAAAGATAATTTATTTAAAATTTTTAATAAATATAATTATAAAAAGATTTTTATATATAAAAATTTTTATTTAATGATATAAAAAAATAATTTATATTTATTATATTTATAATATATTTATCATATAAATATATTATATATATATATATATATATATATATATTTAAATTTTTGACTAGTATTTTATCTTTTTAATATTTTCTAGCTATAATCAATTGTAAATTTTTTGTATTTATAAAAATTTATAATAACATTTTTTAAAAAATAGTTAATAAATCCATAAAATATATGAATTATTTGGATATTTTTATAATAAAAATTATACTTTTTGAGGAATCATTAATATTTATCAAAATTAAGATACACTTAAATTATATAATTTTCTGATTAATATTTTTTTTTTAATAAGAAGTGAAAATTTTTAAAATATTAACAATTTATACAATTTTCTTATATATTCTATTTATAAAATAAAAAAAAATTATTATAGGTTCTATGAATCTTGAGCGTGGATGATAGATAAAATTTTTTTAATTAAAATAGTCTTTTGTCTATTGGATTTATTTAAAAAACTTTATTGTATCATAATAATGCTCAGTTTATAATTTAATTTTTGTATATTTTAGATATAATTGGTAAAATTATTATTCTAATATATTTTGCAATTTAAATCGATTTTATTGTATTGCTTTTAAGTAGTAAATTAAGCCAGTAATACTTTTAGTTTTTTTTTAAAAAAAGCTAAAATAATCAAAAATAAAAATTCTTAATTATTTGTTATTTTTAGTATTTGATAAAAAAAATAAACTTTATAAAAAAATATATTTAAAAGACTCATAACTTATTTGAATTACTAGAAATTTAACTTTTTGGCAAAATTTAATAATAAAAGCAAAGATAAAATAATTTATTTCTTTTTTAAAAACTTTATTTAATCAAAAATTACTAATAATATTTATTTGATAAAGTAATTTAGTATCTCTGAAACTTTTTCATTGAAAATTTATTTTAATAAAATAAATATATAAAAGAAATTAGATTTTATACAAAAGAATATGAAAAAATGATTGAGTTCGTTATTTTAATAATAAATAAATTAAAAAAAATTCTAAAATTATATATTAATGGAATATAGTGCTTATATTAAGAAAACAAGAAAATTAATTGTTTTGAATAATAAAGATCCCTATAAAATACTAAATTCGATGTCTAAATTATTTTCTAAATATTTTTTTTTTATAAAAATTTAGGTTAATTATTTTGATAAATATATTTGAGTTATAATTATTATATTAAAAGTTAATTATATATTTTACTATTGTTATTAAAAATAATTTAATTTATCAATGAATGATTAATCTAAAAAAATATAATTCTCAGTTTGATAGAAAAAAATATAAAATATATTATATTTTATAAAATTTATATAATAAGGATTTAAAATAGTTTACTAATTTTTATCTTAATAAGTTTTAAATTATTAATTTATTAATTTAATAATTCACAAAATATAAAAATTACATTATAATTAATTTTATTTTTATATATAAAAAGAAATCTAATATATATAATAATAAATTATAAATATTAATATAAATTCATATTTTATCAATAATAAAACATAAATAAAGTTAAATACTATAAGTAATTTAATAAAAACAATAACTTTAAAAATATAAAATATCTATATTTTATTATTATGGGGAACTGCTGTGCTTAATAAACTCCATAAGATTGTGATAATATAATATTAAAAAAATAGTAATATGATATAGAAACTTTTTAAGATTTATAAAATAATTAAGAATTAATATAAAAAGTTACTAAATTGCAAGCTAGTTATCGAGGATATTCAGTACGAAAAGGAATATCAAATATTTAACTTGAAAAGCATTATCCAAAACCAGAATTTGCAAAATCAATTTCAAAATAATATGAAGAAATGATTGAATAAGTTAAAAATACATATGAATAATTAGGCACTTTTGAGTATTAAAATCTTGATAATATATCTGAGGGTGCTGTATAATTAGGTCCTTATGAACTATCTAATGGTGCTATATATATAGGGGGATGGAAAAAAGGGTAAAGATTAGGAAAAGGTAAATAAATATGGAAAGACGGTAGTATTTATGAAGGTTATTGGTAAAATAATAATCAAAACGGCTATGGAAGACTTATACATGCAGATGGAGATGTGTATGTACAAGAAAAAAAAATTCTTTAAAAATATTGATTTTTTTTTTTTTTTTTTGGGAAAATATAGGTATATTGGAGAATGGAGAGATGATAAAGCTCATGGTAATGGAACTTATATTCATGTAGATGGAACTAAATATGTAGGAAGTTGGTTTAACGATAAGTAGCATGGATATGGAGTTGAAGAATGGCCTGATTAATCTAAATATGAAGGCAATTATAATATGGGAAAAAAACATGGAACGGGAAAATTTAGTTGGGCTTGTGGAAATGTTTATGAAGGTGATTTTTTTTAAAATTGTATTTAAGGTTAAGGAACATATTAATGGACAGATTAGTTAAAAAAAATTATTTATATATATTCATTATTTATTTGTTCAATAGGAAATATTAAGGCTAATGGAAAGATAATAAAATGCATGGATATGGAATTTTTACGTGGAATGATGGAAGAATTTATAAAGGAAATTATGAAAATGATAAAAAATAAGGATATGGTGAATTTTTTTGGCCTGATGGTAGAATTTATAAAGGAGAATGGAAAAATGGAAAATAAAATGGTATTGGAATATATAAAAATTCTAAAGGTACTGAAAGAAAAGGTAAATGGGAAGAAGGGCAAATTGTTAATTGGATTGAGGAATGAAATACGAGTAAATTATGTTTATTTTTTTATATTTTTTTAATTATAAAATATTATTATGTTTCTAAAAGTATATTTATTTATTATTCAATTTATGTATATAATATTTTCTAGTCTTTTTTTTATTTTTAATTAAATTGTAATTTTTATTTTGATTTTCGCTATTTTTTTTAATATTAAAATTATGTTAAAGTAATTATTACCATTCTTTTAAATGATTAAATATTAATGATAATTTTATTTTTAATAATTAAAATATATTTTAATATCAATTAACTTTTATATATTTTATATAAATTAACTCAATACTTAAATTTTTTAAAATAAATTTATAAAAAATTGTAATATTTTAAAATTTCAATGTATATACTATATACTAATTCAATAAAAAAGTTTATAATATTAATTTATTTTAATATTAAATTATATAGAGATTTTTTTTTATATTGCAATATTTGATATAGTTTTATTCTTTTTAATATTATCTATTATTAATTATTTTTATCAAAATACTTTTTTGCTTATTATTTGTTCACAAAGTTAATTTATTTCATTTTGATTTAATTATGTAAAATACTAAGTTTATAAACATAAGGCACTTTTAATTGATGGAGTTATTATATTTATACCTTTTTATTTTATTTTAACATTATTTTTAATATTTTTATTAATATTTAATTGTTGATTATTAAAATAATCTTTTTTTTATTGTATTTATTTATTTTAGCTAATTATTTATTTTTTGTAAATTTTTTATTTTTGGATGCTCTCAGAAGTTTAATTTCTTGATAAATTTAATAAGCTTAGATTTTCTTTCGAAATATTTTTTCGAAAGAATTCTTTTTTATAATTAATATTTTATACAGAAATTGGAGAATATACTTAATAATTCACATTTATATGTTTTTTTTTTATATTGGTTTAACTTTTTTATTGGAATGATTAACTAAAAACTTAATTATGTAAATTTTTTTCTGTTTAAGAAATATCTTGTTGGCTTTAATTTATTATCATACTGTCGTTTTCTTTATACAAATTTAAGTTTATCACTTTTACTGGTTTTATTTAATTATTTTTTTGTTAATTTCTCATATTTTTTTAAGACTAAAAACTTTAATTTTTAGAATCTATTTCATATAAACCGCTTTGTATATATTTCATTCTATTATTTAGTTATTCTTAAGGTTTTTTTAAAAATCTTTTTAAAAGAGAAAATAACTTTTTAGGAGATTCAATAATTTTTATAGATGAAGTATTTTTTCGATTATTATATTAAATACTTTGCAAACTTTATTATTAGTTTGGGCTTAAAAAAAATGAGTCACTATTCAATCTATTTATTCCTGTTTTACTTCTTTATTTTTTTAATAAATATTCTTTTTTTTCCATTTTTTATTTATTCAATTTAAATATATATATTTTTCAATTTAAAAAATTAATTAATAATAATTTTCTAATATTTAATTTAAATATATTTAAAATTAAATATTATAATATTTTTTCATATTCATTTAAATAATTACTTCTTATAAAAATTTTATCTTTTTTTACTTATAAGAAATGCTTATAATTAATTTTTTTTACAAATTTTTATAAATTTGAATTTCTAAATTATTAATTATCTTTGATTAAATAAAATATTTTTATTTTAATTAAATAAATAACTAATTAATTATAATTTTAAACTTTATTATATTAAAATTAATATAATTATATATATAATGTATTTATAAATTTATTATCCTTATTATTTTAAAAATAAGTTAATAATATAGATGTAATTTAATGTAAAAGTTCGTTTAGTGTAGTGGTTATCACGTTTGCTTTACACGCAAAAGGTCCCGAGTTCAATCCTCGGAATGAACATTTTTTTTTTCTAATTAAAAATAATAAAAATACTTTATGAAAATTATAAATAAATTATTTATTTTTAAAATTTAAACTAAAATTGTGTTTTAAATATATTTTTAGTTTTATTATAAACATATATTATAAAATTTTTCCCTAAATAAAAATAAATAAATTTTTCATTATTTTCCAAAAAAATGTTATAATAAAATATAAGAAATATATTCTATATATTATAAAAAAGTGATTAAAAATTAAATTTGATTTTTTGTTTTGTAGTAAAATTTAAATAAAATATTTAAAAAAGATTAAACTATGAAATCATATATATTACTTATAAAATTTAATATTTGTTATACATTTACCATTTATATTTATAATTTAAAAATTTATTAATCTAAAAAGAAGTTTTTTTTGGAAAAAGTCCTAATACCTAATAATTATTCAAAATCTATTATCTAAAATAAGATTGATAAATGTTTTTACTTATGATGTTTATTTTTTTCATTATTATTGTTTAATTTAAACACATATTTTTTACTTTTACATTTCATTATTTATTGATTTATATGGAAACATATAAAAAATTTAAGAGTAATTTTTAAACAAAACTGAATTTTAAGTTTTTTTGCTTTAATTTAATATTCATTTCAAATAAATATTTAAATTTACATAATATTAACATAAAAAAATGAATTCTTTTAAAAATTAAATACTTTTTATTATTTTTTTATAATTATAATATATTAATATATATATAAAGTTCTCAATAAACATAAAATTAATTCAAAAAATAGGTTTGAAGCAGTCATCTTTAATATTTCCAGAAGTTATTCCTACAATAGTATTAACTAAGTCAAAATTGACATCCTAATTAATAATACTATCTTTTTAATATGCAGGATGATTCTATACAAAATCTCTAATCCAACTTGATAGTGTTTTTCTTTTTCCAAAAGTCTTTTCTTTTACAAAGTCCCACACTTTATAAAAAGCGGACTTTTTATTATATTACTAATGACTTTATTTATAGGCTTTGCTCAAGAAATCTTCCCATATGCTTTCTGAAATAAAGAAAAGACCTTCGAAAACATCATCTTTTCCAAAAAAGATTTCCCTTAAATAAAGTTCCTAAAGTAAAGGTTCTCCATCATCAAAAACATTAGTCCTAAACCAAAATTTTTAATTTATAATGGCATTAGGCAATTTAGCTCTTTCAAAGTTTTCATCAACTTTAGAAATCGGCATATAAAAGTTAATTTGATTGTTTTGGTAAAATAATCTAACAAAAATAGAACTTAATAAAGCAAAAGCTGCATTTTCATCATCAGTTATTTAGCATTCCATTGTTCTAAATTCAACTCTCCATCCTATTTTACTATCCATTGCTGGAGGAGGTTTTATTCTAACTGAATTCCAATTAGTAGATTGTATACTTTCAAAATGACTCGTTGATTTAGAATTATCTTATTCTATTTTTTATTCAAAAACAACAAGAGGATCTCTGATAAATAAAAATCCGATATGTTAAAGCATCCTTTGGTCTATTTATATTTACATTTCTTCGGCTTTTTATTTTGTAAAATCCATTATTTATTAATTTAAAGGAAAGTTTAAATCATTGTATATTTAAAGGTTTCTTTATTCTTCACTTATAAATAAAGATATGGATCCATATCTGCTTTTTGGTATATAACTTTTTGATTACTTATCTCTTTCTTCTGGAGTTCTACAATCCACAGAAGCAGCTATTATATCCCATCTAGTGTCTACATTTGCAAGTTTGCCTTTAAAGATAGGTGATCCGGCTGTTAAGGCTAAAAAGAGAGGAGATATAATTGCAAGTTAATCATATAAAACACGAGCATGAGATAAATTTTTAGCACTAAAGGTTGTTTAGAGACATGATGAACCCATTCCAAATGCCATAGCATCCATATAAATAAATCCAGGAAAGGGTTCTTCTTAGCTAGAAATATCAAGAGAAGTGTTTATATCAGGAAATATAGGAACCTTGATTTATACTTTTTCTTTTCTACGTTAACGTATATTTTATGTTAATGTAATAAATCTTGGATGTTAATTTATAATTCGATCATCTATAAATAAAGATTATGTAATATCGTTCATATGACTTTTTTCGTTTTTCTTATCGAAAAAATCGTTAGTTCCAATAAAAGGAACAATAGGAGAATACAATAAATGCTCATTTTCTTATAAATTTAATTATAATATTTTCGTTCTTTAACGCATATTTTCAACTGTGCGGTCACAATTTCCTTTTGAAAAATAAGGATCTTTTGGAGTTGTTTCTATCATCCAAGCGCCATACTCAGGTAAAAGATGGAATTCTGTTTCTTCTTCGTTGCTTTCGTTGATCTTTTAAAATATTGAAAAATTTTCTATTTGAATGTGAGTCTGTTTTGTTTAAGGGTTTATCTTTATTATATGACCTTCAATTTCATCACCCCATAATATTGGAAATTAGTTTTTAGAAAATTCTCCTTCTTTTGAGCCTTTTTTATAATAAGGATTCAGATTAGAAAGCTAATCATATATGGTGTATTGTTCAAATATTTTTAACAAATTTAAATATTGGATTACAGCTGATTACTTCATTTTTTCAATGTATTATATTGATTCTTTGTAAGTTAACGTCTTACCTTCGTTTAGTAAATATCCCATTTATATTTTTTTATTGTTTTTAATTATTTAAATTTCGGTTTATTTTTTTTTCTGCTTTAATTTTTTTTTTTTGTATAAATATATATATATATATTTATAATTTTTTGCTTCGTATTGATAAAGCTTTGTTTAAATAAAAAAATTTTCTTTTTAAAATTTATGTAATTTTTTTTTCTTTTTCTCTTCTAATTCGTATTATTTACGTTTAATAATATATTTCTAGAAACCTTCCTTTAAAATATTATTTATTATAAAAATATAAACAATCTGATTTAAAAATAAATTTATATTTTAATAAATAATAATTTTGGCTGTTTAATTGAAATTCATTAGTATGCAATATTATTTTTCTTTTTGATGAGTATCTATTTATATATCTTAAATATTAATTTATTATAATTTTTATAAACTAATATTCACAAAAATAAAAGTATTAAATTATGTTTTAATTTAAACAAAAACATTTTAATAAATAGATTTAAAAAAATATTATTTTATTAAATTTTGAAAAATTTATAAAATAATATTATTTGTTTCCTAATCAAATTTTTAATTTATTTATTAGACATTTTTTTATATATATATAAATATTAATATAGTTTGTTATTGAATTCCCTTTTTAAAAATTTAAAAATTAATAAATAGTTTATTTATTATTTTTATTTTTAATTTATGTAAAAAAATGTAAATGCTATATAGCAAATACTTACTTTTTTAATTTTTAATATAATATTATTATAAAAGGTTTAAAAGCTTAAAATAATTAAAATCTCATAATTTCCCAAAATACAAATAAAGTTCTAATAATTTTATATTATATTAAAAATACTTATTCATGCACAATTTTATTAAAATTAAATATAATTTTTTTTTTTTCCTTTTTTAAGTAAACCTACTTGATTATAAAAAATCATAACATTAAGTTTATAGAAACATATTAAGAAAAAAAAAAGTATTTATTCGAAACAAAAGTTAATTCATAATAATACAATATATATATATAAAAAAAAATGAAACATATAAAAGTATTTAAATATGAGTTAATAAATATTATATAAATTTTTATCAATAATGATTTTTTTAATTTAAATAAATAATTTTCTATTTGTATATTATTTATTGATGCTCATAAATATTATTTTCAATTTTTTAATCAAAAAAAAAAATTACTCCCCCACCGGGGATTGAACCCGGGTCTCCAGGGTGAGAACCTGGTATCCTAACCAGCTAGACTATGAGGGAGATTATATTATTTCCTGATTTTATTTAATGATAAATTAATATTTTTAATTATTAAAAGAATAATAAAGATTAAAAAGTATATCAGAATTTTTTATTTAAAAAAAAATCATTTATTGTTTTAATTATAAAAAAAAATACCTAGTTTTTTTATAAAATTAATTTTATAAACAATCTATATTAATGTTGCTATATTTATTACTTTATTTAATTTACATATATAAAATGTTTTTATTAATATGAATCATTAATATCTAAAGAATATTTTCGTATCTATCTGATATTATTGAATTAATACTCTAAAATAAGTAAAAACATTTAAACCATATTCAAGGTTTCAAAATACTATGGTCATCTGAAAAATAGTAAGATTTATATTTTAAATAGAAAACATATTTTAACTAAGTTTAAATAAATATTTAGTAAAGACTTTTAAGATGAAAAAAATAAATAATTCTTAAAATTTATATTGTTTATTATTAAAATAAATAAACTTCGATTTATAAGAAAAATACAAGAAAAATAAAATCAGAAAATTTTAAATATCATTACAATTTTTTTAAAAATATAAATGAAATTTAGTGTTTGATTATTTAAAAATTAAATATGAAACATTTATTTAATTATATATAAGCATTACATATATAAAAATAAAAAAATATTATATTATGTAAAGAAAATTTTTATTTTTTATTTAATTATATTTTCTAATTAATCATTATAAATTTTGAAATCTTATTAATTTTCAAATAATATTAAATACATAATAAGAAAAAATCATTATTTTTATTAACTTCTTTATTATATAGTTTTAAAAAAATTAAGTTAAGACATAATAACTCTTTATTTTATTTAATTTTTTTAAAAATTTTTATTTTTTAATATATTCATCATAAACATTAAATTTCTACTTATATAAACTCTTTTTTATTTTTCATACTTAATTTAATTTCAGGTAAAGAAAAACATATAATTAAAAATTTGAGGGAATTTAATATCTCACTTTCTTTTTCTGAATCTAGAAATTTAAATTATAAATAGCTTTATTTTCAATATATATTTTTTAAAACTATTCTTTTATTTTAAATTATTTATTAATTGCATTATCTTTAATAGCTTTTTACGGTAATAATTTTATCTTATCTATTACTCCTTGCTATTAAAATTAATATCGGGTTTCTTTTATTAAAAAAAGGACATTATAATAAATAATGCTCTAACCCAAAACTACTAAATCATATTTGCTCGTTTTAAAATATTAATTATACTTTATTATTTAGGTATTTCTAATAGATTCATTCTATTAAAATAAGAAAATTATTAACGATTTTAGCACTTGGCTCCTAAATTTTCATGTAGAGACGTAACAAAAACTATAATTTTTTTTTACTTATTAAAATTCAAATTTACCATCAAATAAATATTATAATTATTATTTTCTTATGAACAAATATAATCACCTGGCTAAAGAATTAATTCTTTTATTTTTTTTTAAATTAAACCTTTGAAAAGGAAGAATAAAAAAAGTCTACTAGCCATAAAAAATCAAAAATATAGTTTCTTCAGTATTTAAAGAAACTAAACTGTAGTAACTAAATTAATCAAAATGCTATATTTTGAATAATTTCGTAACACCTCTACTTTTACAGATACCAATAATTCGTTTTATAAAATATAAAATTAATTTTTATTAAAATATATATATATATAAACACAATTTAATGTATTACTCATATTTATTATTTCATTTCAATTGTTTTACTCCAAAAGAAATTTTAAAATAAATTGAAAATATATAATTATTAAAAGTTTTCATTAATAAAAGATTCTAATAAAGAAACAAGCTATCTGAAGACTACTCTTTAACTATAAATCTTTTTTAAAAATATTAATTCAAATTAACTTAAAATATAAAAATATTTATCTCCCCACATAGCTTCTATATTAAATTCTTATTGCTTATTGTATTTGTTATAAAATACAACATCCTTTCAAGTAACTTTAAAATTTTCTAAACATTTTGATTATCCCTAATATTTTTATTACAGATCTGTGATTTTACCAGCTTTTAATTTTAGCTTTATAATTATTCGATTTGTATAAATTAATTAGAATATTTTTGGATCATTTATACGGCGTTATTTTAAGAATTTATTTTGAGTTAGCTTTAGTAAGCTTTCTATTTTATTTTATTGTTATTCTTTTTATAGTTTATTTCTTATTACTAAAAATTATTCAATTTTATTATTATTATATATTAGCAGATTTTTTTAAATATTAAGCAATATAGATATTATTTCTAATTAATTCTTATTTATTTTTATAAGTTTAAAAAAAGAATAGGGATAATGATTTTTTTATAAAATCACAGAATTGAAAGGGAGGGTTAAAGCTTTTTTGATTTAATATTAGTTTCAATTTGCTCTAATATAGACATATTTTAATATTCATTAATATGGTTTTTATATTTTTTATTGCCCTGATTAAAATAATTTCGGTGTATTTTTTTTATACATGTATTATTTAAGAAATAATATTCAATGCTTGATATATTTATATATTTTAGCTTTTATAATTACCAGTCATTGCTTTTTATAGGTTTAAATAAAATTGCTTATTTATAATAAACTATATTTAAATATTAAAATATATAAAATAATTTATTCAATTGACTGTATTAAATTTATATTTGATTATTAAAAAATAATCAGTTTTTTATTATTTAAAAGGAAATAAAAAAAAATAGCCTATTTAAATTTCTTATAAATTAAATATTATTTAATATAAATTCTAAAATATAGAAAATTTATTTTTTATAAAATACAGTGAATATAATTTATATATATTATATAAAATAATTTATTTTTTTTCACTATAATTTATTAAAATTATTATAAATAATTATTACTATATATTTTGGCATAAAAACTCAAAAAAATGCAAAACTAATAAGTAAATTGTCCATATAATCCAGCGCATAAAATTTCACAAAGTCGTTTGATTTGGCATTTAGGGAGATGTAAATCTAAATAATTACATGCTCATTAATTTGGTAATTGTAGGTACAATTTTCTACATATTATAAGAAAAGAATTACTCGATTCTCATGAGGCATAATGTATAGATAATAAATAAAAAAATTAACTACAGATATTGAAAATGCTATTCTATAAAATGCTGTTAAGAATTTTTAAAAAATAAAAAAATAGATAAAAGGAGCTTTAATAAATTTATGATGAGTAAAATAATCAATGGAATAAACAGGTATAAGAAATATAGCATGATTAAAATGAAAATTAAGAATTATTAGAATAATAATAAAAACTTCCAATTTAACTTATAATTAAAAACACCTTTAAAATTATGAAAACGAAGAGAAAAATAATAATAATCATTATTATAAAGATGAAAATGCTAATGAAAGTGCTAATGAAAGTGCCGATGAAAGTGCAGATGAAAGCGGAGATGAAAGTGGAGACGAAAGTGGAGACGAAAGTGTAAATGAAAGTGTAAATGAAAGTGTAAATGAAAGTGTAGATTAAAGATAAGTAGAAAACGCAGGTTAAAGACTAGATGATTAAGTTCTAAAAGAAAATAAATAAAAATATAGAATTTAAAATGAAAAAATGAATAACTAAGAATATTTTTCAAATTACTAAAATTAAAAAAAACATTAATAGATTTAAAAAAATGATAAAATAAAAAATTAATCTTCAAGCTCATCAAGTGGTTCTAGTAAAGAAAGTACGAGCAGTAATGAAGAAAGTAAAGAAAACAATTATAATAAAAGCGATATTAATCTAGATTCGGAATAAGAGGAATAAAAAAGAGAAATTATAGAAATTAATAATAAATCTCTTTAATATTATGATAATTATAGTGACTTTAGTTAAATTAATTAAAATAATTATAAAACTTTATAAAATTAACAAAAGCCTTAAATTTATAAAAGAGTTTATAAATAATTACATTAATTAGATTATGATTCAACTGATAATAATGTTTAAGATGCTTTATAAGATAACTCTTTTAGAAATCAAAATTTTTAAAGGGGAAACAGACAAAGAAATTAAAAAATATATAACAGTGATATGAATGAAAATAATATGTAAGTAAATATTCAATAAAAACATTCTTAAATAAATTAAGAAGAAAAAAAAAAATATAAAGAAGATATATATGATAACTAAGGTTATAGAAAATACTATGGGGAAAAGAGATAACCTTAATAATAATAATAAATTAGAAATAATAATTAAAAAATAAATTATTATTAAAATAATCAAAAAGAAACATAACATACAAGAAATAATAAAAATCGTTAATGATTTTATAATTTATATTAATAAATTATTTTTTTTAAAATAAATTATTGTTATAAATAAATTATAAAATAAAGTAATTTATTATTTGATATTATATTATTTATTATTTAAAATTATTTTGTTATTTTAAATTTTATATAAATATATATTTTTTTTAAATTTTTATTGATATGAAATATACATAAACAATATATTTTTTAAACAAATTATTTTTAATCATATATTTTTATTTATTGAAATTAAATTATTCAGATTTTAAAATTAATTTTTTGTTAAATACTTATTTTTATCAAATATATTCAACAAGTAATTTTTTAATAATTTTAAATTTATATTTTTCTAATTACAAAATTTTTTATAAATATCTTTAAAAAATTACATTATATTATTTTATTTAAGTTTGAAAAATTTACGTTTTTTCCAAATTAATTAATTTATTTCTTGTTTTAAATAAACATAGTTACTTTTATTTAATAAAATTTTCAATATATTATTAATATTATATTTATTCTTTTAATGTAAATATTATTTATTTTTAGAAAACATTAAAAATTATAATTTCTTTATTTTGATATAGTTATTATTCTATGTCTATTTTCGATTTTTTTTATAAATATTTTAGCAGTTTTCACTTTTGAGGATATTATTATTTTTCATCAAAAAATAAATTAAATAATTATATATAGCTTTTTAACATTTAAAATATATTCAAATACTAATAAATTTAAAAATTAATAGCCAATGGAATAAACTAAAAAGAAATTTTAGTTATTATTTTTAAAGTTTTTCAAAAAATATTAACAACATGAGAATCTTAAATTCAATTAATGTCAATATGATCTATTTTTTATTAATAATAAGAATTATAGTTATTCTATAATAATTTAATAAGTATTTATTAAGTTTTTAATTATGTAAGTTATTTTTTAACTCTAAATATAACTAAATACCTTTAATTTAAAAACATTCTTTCTAATTTCTAATAATTTTATTTTCAAACTTTGCATTAGTTATAAAAAGCATATATATATATATATAGATATATATATATATATATTAAATTTTTATAAAAAATATAGTCTAAAAGACAAAAGAAATGAACTATGATATAATTATAATATTTTTAAGCTAATTAATTTCTCTTTGTTAAAAAAATAATGTTCGCTTAAATTTATTTTTATAAGTAGTTTCAAATAATAATTTATCTCAAATTAAGTTTAGTTCATTTTAGTATTCTTATTTAGACCAATACTTTATATCAAAAGTTCTTCTGGATTTTATAAAAAAAGATGTTAATAATTTAAAAAGATAGAATTGTTATTGAAAAATAAAAAGGTATTTAAATATAAATATAATTAAAAATGTTATTTCCTAATATACATTTTTTACTAAATTAATAATCTATTTATAATCATTAATATAATTCAGAAAAATTTAATTATTTTTTGGATATTTTATATAAATGTTAATGCTTTAAATAATAAAATTAATTATTAACAAAAAATAAAAAATTATAAGGATAATTTTTTAATTCTATATATTTACATTTATTATATATTTAATTACTAAGAAGATAATTCTGAATTAATCTAATTATTAAATTAGATTAGATAATTATTTTCATCATTCTTTTTTATTTTACATATTCAATTTTTTAACTTATTATGTTTTGTTTGTTTTAAATAAAAAACAAAAGATATTTTATAATAATTTGTTTAAATAGAATATATAATAGTAAAAAGCTATAAATAAAATTTAATTTAAAAATATAAATAAAACATATGGTTAAAATAGATCCAAATAATAAGCTTTCAACAACAAAATTATATAAAGAAACAGATACGCATTTATTTTATAGAGATAATTTAGGCATATTAAGGAAATTTAAAAAAGATTAATAAAAATCTAATGATACTGTTAGGATTAAATTATTTGAAAACATTTGGAGATGGTGGAAATTTAGAACTGCTGATTCTAAAATGGCAATTATTCCAATATTTCTATGTTTTTTTTCTGGTTCAGTTATATTTAACTTATCAATGTATTTTTCAGATAGAGATCTTTACATTAAAGAAAAAGCAAAAGTACCTTTAGATTTTACAGTTGAAGCTTTTGAAGAATATAAATAAAAAAAAAATAAAAAGAATAAGAAAAAATAAAAATGGGAAAACAAAAATAGGAATGATTAAATAATATCGATTATATTTTTATATAAAATTTCTTAAAATTTTTTCATTCAACAAAAATTTTTATTTAATTTTAAATTTTTAATTTAAAATTAAAAGGAATTAAAAGAAAATATTTTTTAATAATATGTAAAATTATATAATTTATTAATAAAAAGTAATAATAATTATTAAAAAAAATTAATTATTATAAAATACAAAGCATATATAATTTTTATAAGAATATATTTCAGTAATATTTTAATAAGTTTAATATTTTAATATAATATTTATATATAAATTAATATTTTTATTTAATTTAAGTCTATTTTTCAATTAAAAGATTTTCTTAACATAACTTTAAACTTTATTTAACTTTTATATATTAATAAATAAATTAGAATTAATTAATTATATATAAAAATTATATTTTAGATTATTCAAATGTAATTATTCTAAGAAATTTATAGCCTTATTTAAGTATTTAATTATCTTATTTTATTGATTAGATTTCATTTAATCACTTATAGGTCAAAATATTATTTTTTAATTGTAATTATTTGTATATAATATTATCTATTTTTGAAATTACATAATCTGTTAATTATATTATTATTAAATTATTATGATTTTATAATAATTACTTCTTAATTAATTGCATATATTTGAGAAATTATCTATATTTTTCTATTTAAAATATTTTTTTTCTTTAATTCCTGTTTTATATTTATTAATTCAGAGAAATATCTCTAATAATTCTTTATTTAAATATGTTTTTAATTGTTTATTTCAAAGATTTTGAGATCGTTATTTGAGATAGAACTAATATTGTTTTCATAAAATAGAAAAAAGAAGGCTTTTTGGTAAAATGAAACATTTTTATTTTAAATAATTTTTCTTTATTTATTTTTAATAAATTTTAATTTTTTTTTTTAAAAAAAGAATTAAATTTTATACATTTTTTATTCAATATAATTTATTTCTCTATTATGAAATATTTTAAACTTTAATTTGTTACTACTAGCTATTTCTTTTACTTTCAATTTCAATTGTATAAAAATTTAAAAATATTATTCTTTTTTTTTAATATTATAATCAACAACTTTTTTTTTTTTTTCGATCTAAGAATATATACTTTTTTTTAATTATTTTTTATAGAGTTAAGTAAACATTTAATTAATTACTACATTTATATGACTTTAATAAAATTCAGATAATAAACTTATTGTTTAATTGATTTAATTTTATAATATAATTGAAAAAAAAAATATATATCTTATAAAGAATTTATATCTATAAATATTATTAATACAATTATTTATAATGAAATAATCAAATTAGTAATTAAATAAATTATTTATATTTAAACAAAAAAATTTCTTTCTTTATTTGAAAAAAATTTTGTTTAGAAAAAAGAAGGAAAAAACAAACGAAAAAATGCAACAACAAAAATTTATAAAAGTAACCAAATAAAATCATTTATTTCTAAAATAAAATAAATAAAGTTAAAATATAATAAAAAAATAATATCAATCTTATTTTTTTGTAAGCATATTTCTTAATAAATCCCCTATACGAGTAATTAAAATCATCACATCAATATAAACTAAAACTGTTCCAGAAATCCATTCTTCTTTACTAAAATCATAATCAGGTCCTGTAATTCTAGACTAAGTATCAAAAATTAAATAAAATGCAAAAACAAATCCCAAAAAATAAACAAAAAGCATATAAAAAAAAGAAATATTACTTAAAACAGTAAAAATATGAAATACAATAAGTTGAGCACCGAAAATAAATACCGAAGACCCTTAGTAAGTTAGTTCATATCTAACGGTAAGTGAATAAAAAAATTAGCTAAGTACAAGGCTCGAAAGTAAAATAAAAGCCATTAATCCAACAATAGTATTGCCTAAAGAAAGTATATATATAAGAGTCATACCAAAGCATAAGGTCCATAATAACATACAAACAACATTAAAAGGAAAAATTCTTATTTATTTTCTAAAACATAAACCAAATACTCCTATTGCTATTGTTCCTCCTATACAAATCCAAAAATATATGTAGTTTTGCTTTAAGTGAGTTTCTAGTTCTTAATATTAATGGCATAAAAAAGAAAAAATTCCAATTAAAGTTAGCTGAATTGATATTGCTAAATATAATTTTCTTAAATATATTATTCTAGGATTTATTGATAATTGTACATGATCAAAATCCTCATTTTCATAACGTAAGGCTGCTCCTCTAGAAGTAGAAATATTATTTTTGCTGTATATTTACTAATTTGATTAATCTTATTTATAAAGATCCGTCATTTATTAATTCATTCTATTATTAATAATTATTTTTTAAAATATTTATTTTTATTTATAGTTATATTTATATAAAATAATTGTATATTTATTTAAAAATAATATTAATAAATTTATAATATTAATTTCATAATTTTATTTTACTTATATTTTATTTTTATTTTATTAATTTAATTATATTTTTAATATTTTATTCTTTTTAATAGATAATGATGTTTATGAAAAAAAATTCAAGAGAAAGCATTACTAATTCAACAAAAACATTTGAAAAAGAAGAAAATACAGAAATAATTAGTTTGAATTAGCAAATTCCTCAAAAAAATAAAATTCAAGAAATAAATATTTAAGATTTATTCAAATTTAATAAATTTATTTAAACGCCTTTCTATAATAATATTTATTTCTAAAATATTAAAAAGTCAAAACGTTAATTTAGTTAAAATACGCCTCCTATTCATTAAGAAAAAAGTTAAGAATTTAATGAAAATATGAAACTAACAAACATAAAAAAAGACAATTATCTATTTTAGAATACAATATTAAGTTTAAAAAATAGAGTTTTGCTATTAGAAAAAGAATAGAAAAAATAGTTAATTTAATAAAAAATTACAGAAAGAAATAAAGAAAAAATAATTCGAAATTAATAATTCTAATAATAAAGAAAATCTCTAAATTAATAAAATAGGTTTCAAAGAAAATCAAATGAAGAAAAAATGCTTATAGACATTAAATTAAATAAATAACTTTAAGAACAAAACTTAAAAATGAGTAAAACTGCTTTTTTAAATAAAATTAAAGATTAGGTTAATAAACTTAAGAATATAAATTAATAATATTAGCAAGAAAAAACTATGAAATAAACAATATTAAATTAACAAAACAAATCAAAATTTAAATAATAAAAATTTCAAGAAAATCGTACTTAATAAAATTATTAAGAAATGCTTAATTAAAAAAAATATATTAAAAACTATAATCTTGAATAAAGAGTTCATATTATTAATTAAGAAAGTGAATAATATTTATAAGAATTATAAATTTTAGAATAAAAAAAAAAAGAATTAATAAAAAAACTTAAAAACACAAAAGAACTTTATGAGAATTCTCATTTAAATATGATTGCAGCTGTTTAATCTCCAATTCAAAAATTTTAAGTATTCGAAACTGCATCTTAAAATAACTATAACAAAAATTATCTCTTAAGTTCTACTAAAAATATGTATTTAAAAAATAATTAATTCGTTAATAATGAATTAATATATTCTGAAGATAACATAGAATAAATAAAATAAAAATATAATGATAATTTAAAACCTAATAAAAAGATATCTGTTTAAAAACATTTATAAAAATACTAGTATAATTTAAATAAACTTACAAAAGATACTTGAATATTTAAAACTTAAACTCATATTAAAAAAAAAACTCTTAACTCTAATAAATAAACTAAATTAAATATAAATATAATATATATATATATATAATATATATATATATATCATAATTACAATAATTAAAAAAATAATTTATTATTATCAATTATTATTACATTAATGTATTATTTATAAAATTTTCCATATGTTTTAAATTATTATATGTTTAAAAAACAAATTATCTAAGAATAATTATAAATTATTTTGAAATATTTTAAAAAGAAAATAAACTTTAGTTTTTAAAATTTAAATAAACATAAAATTAGATGAAAATAACTAATTAAATTAAAGTATATAATTTTATTTATTTATTTATAAATTATATTTATAAATTTATAAACAATATTATAATATTAATATATTTATTATTCAATAAAATTAAGTATATAATATATTTATAAACTTATTTAGTTTATTGAACTAAAAATTCTTTTTAAATATTAAATTCAAAATTTCATCATATATAAATACCAAATATTAAATATAAACAAGACTATTAATTTTTTTAAAATTTATAACCGTTAATTGATAATATAGAATGTTAGATATTTATTAAAAATTAAATTTCTGATTGGTTTTAAAGTCTTTTAAATAAATTCAAGATTAAATCTATTATTTTAAAATAAAATAGTATATTTAAACAAATAAATTATATTAATCCTTCAATGTATATATATATATTTAATTATTACTTGTTTTTATTTTTACTATAATTTTTATTTAGAAATTAATATATAATATAAAATAATAATGATTTTTAAAAATTTTAAAAGACAAAAAATATATTATAAAAGTTAAAATATTAAGCATTTATTTTTATAAAAATATTATTTAACTTATTTTAATCGAATTAAATAAATAATTTATATCTTCATTATACTATGTTTAAAAATAATTATATTGTAAAGAATTAAAATTTAAATTATATATATATATATTTTTTTAAATTTAAAAATCATTTTTTTTTAGCAAATTATTATTATTTTTAATTATTAATTAGATGCTTTTTAGAATTATTTTATTAGATATCTGTTTTTTATTAGGCGCATATATTTTTTTACCCACTGCCATTTAATAATTTGCATTTGCTTTTATTCTGTATATTTTTATTTGTATTATTTAGATAACTTGTATTTGCAATATTATCACTTTAATTACTTTATTTTGTACTTTAATTATCATTTTTTTATTATTCTTCTTCGTCACTGTATTAGCTCTAATCATCAGATGCACTAGAATTTCCTTGGTCACTATCGGTTTTGAATTCATCTTCTAATTCTTCTTATTTTTCTCTTTCTTCTTCATCTTCCATTTTCTTTACTTAATTATATTTCTTAATTTTTAATTTTTTTTTGTTTTATAAAATACATTCATCTCCTTTTTGTTATAAAAACTCTATAAATTATGCTATCTTTATATTATTCGGTTCTTTTTTAATAACTTTATTTGTTAATTGGTTTTATTATAATATTATTTAAATATATTCAATTATTATATATTGTACTTTCTTATGCTATTGTCAATGCTTTATTATAATTTCTATCTCTGATTTCTATTAAAAACTTATTTTTTAATATTAATTATAATAATTATTTATAATATTAAAAAATTTATAAAATTACTTATATATGTAACTCTTTTTCCTTAAAAGCAGAGTCTATTTTATCATTATAATTAGTTTTTTACATATTTTTATATTATTTAAATTATTAACTAAATATTTCTTTTATATTAAATAAGTATTTAATAATAATAAATTTTAATTAATTTTAATATTCATTTTAATAATTAAATTTTTTAAAATTGTTATAAACAAAACTAACTTTAATATATAAATTAGCAATTTTTTCCAAAACATATCTTAAATTTAATGAATAATCAACCTCTTTATATTTTTAATTTTATTTTATATAATAAATGAGTTATAAAAAATTAAAATAAAATTTAGAAAATATATAAAATTATTTATTAGTTTTAGTTAATCACATTCTTTTTAAACCATAAATAAACCCTAATGTAAATCCAAATGCACTTGGGAATCTGCATTGTAAACTTTTAAGATATTTATCGATTAAGTCATATGTGTCTTTAGAGTTAAATTTTATCATTTTTTGTTTATTTAAAATTTTAATATTCTCTATTTCAAACTTTCTCCATTCCGAATTGATATATCCTTCTTTAGATATAAATTACTGTGTTAAGAATATTCCACCTGTTACAATTAATGTCGTTCTTATTAATCTTCTAGTAAATAAACCTGCACAATAACCAAAAAATAATCCAATTCCAATTTCTTTGATGTAAGCTTATTGATTTTTATTGTAAATTTATATTTATTTTAATTTTAATTCTTCAAATGTTTTTTAAAATCTTTAATAGAAGTCTTATTAAGGCATATTTTTTATATTTTAAATTACTGATTTTAAAATAAATATATATATATGCAGTATAGCAATTTTTCCTTTATTAATTTTATTTCTATAAATTGCTTTCAAAAATTTTTATTAAATATATTATAAAAAAATATCTAATATATATTTTTATTATAATTTAAATAAATAATATATTAAAAATTTTAAATTAATTTTAATATATTATATTGTATTTATCCTATATTATTATTTTTTTACTCGTAATTTAAAAATTACTTAAAAATGTATTAACATAAAATTTTATTTTTAAAAAATGTTCTCTATATTTTAAATCAATTTATATATATATTATATATTTAAAGTAGTAAAAATAAAAAAATAAATAATTAGGTTATTTATATAACTTTTTATATATTTCAAAGTATTTTTTGTGAGCATTTAAAATATATCATTATTCTCTTAATCTTATATTTTCTATTTTTTTTTAGATTCATTACCTTATCTTGTACTTCCACATCTATATTATGATTACATAAATTTATAATTTTCGTAAAATTCTAGCAGATTATTATCTTAATTAAATTGAATCTGTTATTTTATTTCTTAAATTAACTTTT